CACCTCTTACATCGTTAGCTGGAAGAATGATTTCTCCTTGCGCCCTGATACCCGAGGGGCTGAGAACCACAGTTACCAGGTCATCCCAGCAGATCCCACCCGGGAGCTCAGATGAACTGATGGCGAGTCTGGAAATAGCTAATTATTCAGACGTCCCCCCCTCCACAGGTGATGCAAGATGAAACTTGGAAACCTGCTAGGTGAGTGGGCAGGCAGGGAAGGGCAGTGTGGATGTGTAGCTGGTGGACTGTCTGTTTTGTTCATTAAGCCACAGTCTGCCTCGCTGTATTGTTGCAAAAATGCTTCTGAGTTGGAGTTTGCCAGGAAATGAGTCTCAGCGGATGCACCGACCAAAAATCCATTTTGTTTTGTCTTGTTTCCACTGCTGAATTCCTTCGTAGACATGAACAGACGTCATTTAGCCTTCACGTGTTGTATTCTGACTCCGCTGTGTTTTTACTGAAGTGTTTTCGAGGAGTTCTGACCTGAAGTGTGGTTGTTTCCCATCTGTTTGAAAAATGGCAGCTTAAGCACTCAAGGTCTTCAGAATTTTTGTATGTTTGGTCTTAATTTGGGAAACGACATAAGCCTTTAATAAATGGGCAGTAAGCCCGAACCCCGCAGCAAATGAGAACCATGCTTTTCATCAGCTTTTCAGAGATGAGGCAGAACTTATTTTGGGATTAATATAAAATAGCTTAGGGTCTGGTAGCTAATTCAGTCCAGTTGCCTGCACAGGTTGGTCCGCAGACAATTTTTATTTTTAGCTTGTTTACCATTGTCTTGAATTCCTGAAGAAAGAATTCTTTTCAGTCTATTTACTAAAGCATGAAAAAGGCCTTACAGTTTTTGAAAACATTTTTATAAGCATTGAAACAGTAGGTACCTTGGTGCCAGATGGCTTGAATTTGAATCCTGGCTTAGCCACTTGCTAGCTGAGTGACCATGGGCAAGTCCCTGTCCCCTTATACCTCATCTGTATGGCAGGATGTAAATAAATCCTCCTTTTAAGTGAGTTATTATTTTAAAGTGTTTAACACAGTGCCTGGCCCATAGTAGGCACTATGTAAGTGCTTTTTAAATAAAAACAAATGACTTCTTCTGGGGACTTGGGTGGGTGCTAAGAGAATCGAATTAGCCAGAACGTTCCAACTATCAAATTTCCTTATTGTTTAAGATTGGTGATAAGTTCCAAATCATTTTAGTCTATGTGATACACTGAAGCCTTTTAAGTGAATTTTGGGGGGAGGATAAGGTAATTAGGTTTATCTATTTATTACAAAAATTTTTTAATGGAGGTACTGGGGATCAAACCCAGGACCTCGTACATGCTAAGCAAGCGCTCTACTGCTGAGCTATACCCTCCCCCCTTTTTAAGTGAATATTTAATGTCTTACTTTGATAAAATTTCTGACTTAATGAAAAGTTGAAAGCATAGTACAAAGAACTCCTTCCTGTATACCTTCGACCTGGATTCACCAATTGCTTGCATTTTGTTCATTTGTTTTTATGTTCATTCTTTCACTCTTTTCTTTCTTCCTTCCTTTCCCTTTTTCCTCTCTTCCCACCACCCTCCAGAATCCTTTGAAAATAAGTAGGAGATATTTGCCCCTTTTATTCTTAAGTATTTCAGTGTGTTTTTTTAAAAAGCAAGGACATTCTCTCCCTTAATTGCAGTATAATGATCAAAATCAGGAAATGTGATGTTTGATACAACCCTGCCATTTAATGTACAGGCTGTGTTTAGAAACGGTTTTGTCCCAGTAATGTCCTTTAAAGCTGTATGTGTGTATATGTGTGTATGTGTGTGATGTATGTGTGTGTATATGTTTGTGTTCATGTGTATGTCTACGTGTGCACAGTTCATTCTGCCACTGACTGTGTGTGGGTATTTTTCCTGGCCCAAGATCCAGCACAGGGTCACGATTTCACTTAGTTGCCCTGTATTGCTCCTTTATTTGGAACAATTCTTCAGGGTTTTTTTTTTTTTAATCTTTCATGACTTGGACACTTTTAAAGGCTACAGAGCAATGACATTGCAGAATGTCCCTCAAATTTGAGTTAGTCTACTTTTCCCTCATGATTAGGTTCAGCTTTAAGGTCACTGTGTTTTCTGATTTTAAAAGGAACCGTGATATTTTGTCACTGTAGAGTTTTGGATGACAAGGACAACGTGTGGAGTGACGAGGGCTTAGCAAAACTGATGCCGGAGACGTTCTGAGGGGGCTTATCTCCAAGTAAATAACCACATTCCCAAAGCATAATCCTCTCAGGGAGTTCACTCTACTACTAATGGTGAAGGCAAACACATTAAGAGGAAAGAGAGGGAGGGCTTCACTCTTTCCTTGGTAAGAAATCAAACGTAGGCAGAATTCCTTCTTGTATACAACAGAAGTAAATTAAACACATGAAGAATGGTCTCCTCTGCCTTAGATCCTCCAAGTTTCTTGGTACCAGGAAACATAAACAGGCATTCTGTTTCTTTTGTTGTAAAAGAGTGACTGTCTCCACATGATAGTAACATGTAAGGTGAAAGATGAAGAATGTAATCTCGCGTCCAGATCTTGAGGGTTTTTAGTTCATTCTGAGAATGATTAGACATGTTAATTTTTGTTTTAGTCTAGATATGGACAATGTCTTTCATCATTGTAAACATCCAGACTCTAAAAATTGGTAACTTTTAGATACATGCACCCCAATGTTCACAGGAGCACAATTTACAATAGCCAACACATGGAAACAGCCTAAGTGTCCATCAACAGATGATTGGATAAAGAAGATGAGGTATATTTATATACAGTAGGATCCTACTCAGCCATAAAAAAGAATGAAATAATGCCATTTGCAGCAACATGGATGGACCTAGAGATCGTCATACTAAGTGAAGTAAGCCAGTCACAGAAAGACGAATATCATGGTATCACTTATATGTGGAATCTAAAGTATGACACAAATGGACTTATTTACAAAACAAAGATTCAGAGATAGAAAACAAACCTATGGTTACAGGGGGCAAAGAGGATGGGGAGGGATAAATTGGGAGTTTGGGATTTACAGATTCAAACTACTGTGTATAAAATAGATACACAACAAGGTCCTACTGTATAGCACAGGGAACTATATTCAATATCCCATAATAAACCATAATGGAAAAGAATATGAAAAAGAAAATATATGTGTATAACTGAATCACTTAGCTGCACGCCAGAAACTAACACAACATTGTAAATCAAATGTACTTCAATTACAAAAAATGAATGACTTTTGAAACAGAATGATAGGAAGGACTGTGCTATTGCTGGGAGACGACTGGGAGGGAAATGAAGTGACCAGAAGGAAAGGCTTTTGGTGTCACGCACACAGTTATTGATGGTCTTGAACGTACTCAAGTTTGGAACCGACATGAAACAGTTAATCCTTTCAAGCGAGTACCAAGAGTACACACTGGGAAAATCCAAGTGAGTAAGTTACTGTTCAGCCTAAAATTAAGCTCCTGGCTTTTTGTCTGG